GGGGGGGGGGGGGGGGGGGGGGGGGGGGGGGGGGGGGGAGGGGGGGGGGGGGGTAGGGGGGGGGGGGGTTGTCGCAAACATCTTTCACTCGTAATTCCGAGCATAGCAAAGTACTATATTTACTGGGTAAGCCAATAGTTGCTCATTTCTTTTTCTTTTTCTCTGTCTTTTAATGTAAATCTTGTCCGGTCGAATAGTCGTTGGCAATCGCGCGAGTTTAGCAAGATTTTAAGAATTTCACGAGCCACCGTAGCAGTAAAATGCAATTGTAAAACAGTAAAACAGTCGCTGTGATTAAGCTTCAGACACAGATTGGATGGACCGGCGGGAGGCCTCTTAAGCTCTATTAAGCTCTTAAAATAGTAAATCCATCGAGTTAGTGTTTCAAGTATAGCGCTTTTACGAGCGACGATACTGCTGGATTAAACTAACCGGTCGGGGTCGCTCCTCACGCAGGAAGTTCTTAAGGTCGCCACCGGCGAGGAGCTCGAGGACGATGTACCGGGGATGCTTATCGAAAGACACGCCGATGAAATGTACGATATTCGGATGATTAAATTTGCTCATTATTAGTGCCTCCATCATGAAGTCAGCCTCGGCCTGCGACGAGGATAACGAGGGCAGAGTCTTCACAGCAACCGGATGTTCCTCGTTTCGACGGTATTTGTACAAGCCTTGGAAAACCTCGCCAAATGCACCTTGTCCCAGCGGTCTACGAGTAAATATCTCCTCGTTAATGCATAAATTAACAATTGGATGAATGGCATTTGAGCCTTTGTCAGTCCCAAATCCCAGCGAATTATTATGGATAAAATCAATGTCGCTAAGAGGGTCGTACGCGCACATTGGCTGGATCGAATTATTTTGAATTTTCGCAAAGTGAAATGTACTTACTTAACCAAGTCAATATTGTCACGAGGTATTTGGGGCAGATCCTTGAAGCTGTAGAGATTTCCCGCGAATTCGTAGTTTGGATTGAATTCTGTCATCATACTGTCCGAGACGACTCGCAGGGCCGTAAGTTCAGTGCCGTTACCAAACATAACTTGGCGCCTGCGTAATAGAGCCTTGCGATTTTGGTATCGGTTGTCTACGCGAAAAATGAATTGTTTTATTTCTCATCAAGTACACTATCGTCAAGTGCCAATGGTAAAGAAATCGGCGCTGCGTCCGGGCCATACTTACATAATAGGAGACAGAGACCGGAAAAGGCAATTACCAGGCTGATGCTTACGATTATGAGAATTACCATGAATGTTTGGTGCGTCACATCCGATTCGCTTGCCACTGCAAACGGAGTTTCAAATTATTGTCTTTTCTCGGAGTTTCTTTAAAAGAAAAAGATGCAAAAAAAAAAAACATGAAAAGTAAATCCTTTTAAATAAATCCTTGTATAGTAGAGCTTGAAGTTTATTCTGGATTAATGTCATTAATGTCATACAATCAATTGTTACAGAATAATATTTGCTCGACTCGATTACAATACACAAATCAAATTTTATTACGTACCTCGCATTACTAATCATAACATCACTCAAATCATATTTTCCGCTCATTTAAAAATTGATTTAGCAATGAAGAAAGAAAATCTTAGCCATTCAAGTAAGCGTGTTGCAAAAGTAATTGATATTCTTATTTATTGATATTTTTCTTATAATTCAGTAATACGGTATTATAAATTTTGAAGTACGTAAGTGTGAAGTTTTATTAAAGGATAATGCAACATAATTGTAGAGAAAACGTAGTAGTGTATAATATATATTTGGATACTTTATAACTTTTCATAATGCCTTTTACCAAACTTTCCTTTCATAAACTTTCTTCCGTGGTTTATTACCATAACGTTATTATTTCATGTATTCTCCTATCGATATAATCACGCACACAACTATGCTCTACATGATATTGAACATTAAGTCATGGCGACTCATTAAAGGTAATGATTACAGTTATTATTAAAAACTGATTTATGAACTATAAAAGAATTTCACGAGAATAAAGATTATACGGTCAAAGTGCACTAATTCAATGGCATATTTATGACATTGCGAAGTAAGTACATAAAATAGGTATTATTAAATATATCAATATGAAGAATAGCGATAAAAGCAAAACGTTAAAATAATATTAAACCCCTTCAATTAACTTAAAAGATGATGATTATCATAAAACATTCTGACACAGAAAGATACTTAAAAATATTTCATTACACACATTGCTTGGTATATACGTTCAAATTAAGCGTTTGAACGGTTTTGAGATTGAAAAAGAAATCCTTGCTGAACTACATTAAAGACATAAGCTCAAAGACTTTATTTAGTTTTTCATTAAAATGATAACCGAGCGATTTATTTGTATTTGGTAAAATGTTGGATCATCGAGTCCTGTTTAATACAATTGGAGTTATTTTACTCAAGTGTCTAGTAGACTCAATGACGGTTTCTTGACAGATTCTTTGTTTCTTTCTTTCTTTCTTTCTTTCTTTCTTTTTAAGAAAACAGCTGGTCGATATCATAAAATTATCTTTTAATTGGAAATTTAGTTATTACTCCCCTGCAAATTGGTAAATTCATAAATTCATAAATATGCTTATTAAAAGCAATATTTTTACCCTGTGTTTGCATTTTCTCTCTCGTTTTTTTTTTCTTAAATATAAGATAAAAGATGTTACATCGCATACATCTCTTAAAGAGAGAGAGAGAGAGAGAGAGAGCATAATAAATTAAACGACATTTAATGTTAAAGTAATGTACTTTACTGGTCTGTTTGTTTTTCATCTATCCTGCTTTGTTTTCAGCTAAAAACAATATGAGAAGGTTGAATGGAAATGGCAAGCGCACTTTATGGTCAAGTAAGATCTCCAAATCAAATGGCAGCTTAGTCGATAAACTTTGTCATTATTGTGCGTGCGGATAATAATTTACTTATGCGCATTTTTGGTATGCGTCGTAAAATTAACTGACAGCGCATAGATCTAATGGGCGCTGACAACTGCGCGCATTATTCATTCGGCTTCGCGAAGAAAAAAATCTCGCTTTATGCCTCGCTTTCTTCCCGACATCTCGGCACTCCATCAGCCAAGAGTCACCGCTCCACGCCGCTCCATTACCACTTTCGGCGAGTAGAGCGACGTTTCATCCGATCGTCACTGCCATACTCTTCATTATTTTTAGAAGTAGAAGGAAGCTTTCGTTCATTCGTAAAGATGCCGACGGCACCAGATAAATTGCTCTTTCCGCAACTCCTCGCTGGCAAAAATCTACTTTGAGGAGATTCGCCAAATGCACGGACTGTAACTTGAGTCGCACGTCCTCCGTGTGTCTCGCCGCAACTCGAGCACTTTTCCAATAAATCACGAGCGGACGCGAGCCGCCGCGTCTATGACGCCTCATTACACGCAAATAAATCGATGAATTTTCATAATGCCGCGTACATTCTCTTTTCTCTCTCTCTCTCTCTCTCTCTCTCTCTCTCTCTCTCTCTATCTCTCTCTCTCTCCCTCTCTCTCCCTCTCTTTCCTTTTTCAATCTTCTGCCGAGATATTTACCGCAACTACTTATGTTGTGGGCAGATTTTTTTCTCCCTTTTTTTCTTTTAATAACACGTCATATGTAGACGGCCATATGCTCGTCTTTCTTTCGCACGGTCTCACGCATCGCTCGAAGCCTTCGAATCACTAAACTACGGAAATTTCCCTCCCAACTATCAATTTTAATGAGAATCAGTGTCCCCCACTCGCTTCGACTCACTTATGCAGGATTTCGAGTCATTGCCGAGTTGCCATCCGGGCGGACACAGGCAGCGCGTCTCGCTGAGGTGCTGGTCGACAACGACGCAGCGGAAGTTGCAGCCGCAGCCACTGACCGCGGGCACTATGAAGATCTCACCGGGACCGGCGTTGGCCTTCTCCAGGTACGAGACATAAAGCAGCTCCGATGCGGCGTAGGAGTATCCACCCTCGCCGTTGCCCGATTCCACGTGTCCGGTGCCGCCACCTATTTGTTAAATCGTCCCGCATCTCAGATCTCGTATATTAGGCGTTTGATGGACGGGGCGACGGGGAAGAGGTTGGGGGGAGGGGGGGGGGAGGAGCGAATAACGAAGACCCGAGAAAATAAGACGAACCTGCGTATCCGCCACCACCGCCGCCGGACAAGCAGCCACCGCCACCGCCGCCGAAGCCGCCGTCACCGTAGCCTTTGTGATTGAGACCGCAGCCAATGCCCCCGATGCCGCCCTTCGTCAAGGCCATGCCATCGGCGACTTGACTGGAATCGTTGCTCCGCGATGGCATCCAACCGCCACCTCCGCCTGGTCAAAACACAATATTTCCACTGTCCCATTAAAACCGCGTCGCTCCATGTCCGCGGAGGCTTAACGATAATATACCCTTATCTCTCTCTCTCTCTTTCTCTCTCTCTCTCTCTCTCTCTCTCTCTCTCTCTATCTCTCTATCTCTCTCTCTCTCTCTCTCTATCTCTCACTCTCTATCTATCTCTCACTCTCTGTGCGCGCGTGTGTGCGTACGCGCCTTACCTGGTTATACCTACCGCGCCCTCCGACGGTAATCTAAGATGACATAATCGTACCTCCCGTACACCCGTGTCATCTAAAAACTCGAGCACGGCTCTTGGTGAAAAATTAAAATAATTCATCACCACCCGACGAGTGCACATTAATGATTAAGAGTGAGGCTTAAAATGATATTGCAGGGGCCGCGGGGCATCGAGCTTTAAACAAAAGGGAAAATACACACAGGATTATTGCTTCAAGTGGAAATTTGTGCGAGCAAATAAACAAATTCGTGCAGTCGTACCGCGAACGCGTATTTGTTTAGCAAACCCCCTTACCCCCTTGCCGTCCTACATCGATTATTTTAGCACGTAGAAAGTAGAAAGTATTATTTTACAAACAGCAGAACGAATTCGATAAAGACTTCATTTTCCATGTCGATTGTAAAATGTACACCATCCTGACCATCCTGCCCGATCCAAGGACCTTCTCACCGAGTGTCACCAGGTTCAACTAAGCCAATGAAAAATCCTTATCGACTCGCCTGCGTTCTTTTTGAAGGAGACACCGTTGACGGGGCTTCGGTCGAAGGGCATCGCGCCCTTTCCATGCTGGACACCGTCGTCGTGGAACTGCGTGGGCCCGAGGCCACCACCACCGGCGGCCACTAGCAACGCCTGTTGCTCGCCGCTCGCTTTCAGCTACGAAAAATGTGAGAGACTCGATTGTGATAAGAATTGCCAAGGGGCCTCGCGACATTGCCGCCATCGGGCCATTTTCACGAGCTTGACTTACGGTGAAGATATAGGTAGCGCCACCGCCACCCCCGCCGCCGTCTTTCAGCTCGATGTTCTTCACTTGGCGAACGATCGACATGTACTCGAAGCTGGTATTGAAACTGCTCGGTTGCTGGCAAGTGTCGTTCTTCGATCCCAAGCTCTGTAAATAAGGAGAATAATGGCTGAGGCGAGAGGCGCGACTTGCCAATGTCGAGGGTAGCGACACTCGACCCTCGAAGCGCATTGCCGACTATACGACAAGAAAATCATCGATGTCCATTGTGATGGGGAGAAGATAAGAAAAGGGGCCAGGATAAAGGAATGTACCGGTGGATTGAGGGGGACCTGGGACGAGGACGGTGATGAATGACCCACCTTAGGGCATGCGTCGGTCCCGGGCTGGCCGACGATGAAGTACAGTTGCTGTCCTTTCTCGAGCTCTACGACGCCGCGCACCATCGTGCCCAAGGTGATGCCCATCGTAAGGGCCCCCGTGCCTCCCCGAGCGCCCATGGCGATTATTCTGTCGACAGAGAAGAGTCGGGTTAACACGCATCCCCTTTGTCATTGCTCAATTGGCGGGAACTTTGTTTATTATATGCCGAGGGCTCGGTTACCGAGTTAACCGATTGATTGTATTGATAAAGGGATTGAGTGGCTGTTGATTAATTGGTCGCGAACACGCCGAGAAATTTGACATTTTTACAAGCGTTTATGTCATTGGCGAGAGCTCGAAGACGACTACTCGTCTCTTGCTCCCAACCACGAGCCATAAACCCAATCAGGTCGGATTTATTATTAATTATTCGCCGGCAATGATGACGACGACGACGACGACGACGACGACGACGACGACGACGACGATAATAAAAGTGAGTTGCGAACTTACGTGTAGTAACCACCGCGAGGTGCGATCCAACGTTGGATACCTTTGAAGCGGAGCACCGCGTCCCCTTCGTCCGTAGATGAGGCCGACAGCACCTCAACGTCCTCCGTCCCATTATAGAATTGTGCGCACTGCTCGGCTGTCGGACCGATTCTGCCAGTTTGGCCGCAGCTGGTCACTTGGACAACTGTGCAAAAATCCACAATATTTCACAACGAGTTTTCAAGTTTAAAGCAACTCGTTATTTAATTGATCGAGAGGTTGCGAACAATCAGGAGCCTCGGTACAATTAATTTTATTGATTATTACGATGGGCGTGGGTGAGTCGTGAGGTAGCGTTAGCTCGATTAAATTAATATTTCGTGATATATAAGTATTTATTAGGGAGCGACGCGTCAGGCTTCGTATATGCGATGATGCTGCTCGCTTGGGTTTCGTGTGTCGTGGTGGGGATTTGACGGGGAGGTGCGCGAACCTGTGCGCGAGTTGTATTTTCACTTGTATTTTAACGAATGTGCATAAAAACAAAAAACAAAACAAATATGTATTTTGTTTATGGAATTGCAAATTAAATTGATAAATCGTGATCGTGTATGGGACTAGAACAAAGTCTGTCTATTATTGTTTATTATCTTTACTTCGTGTGTAACACGCGTTTGCTCTCCACTTTCGCTTATAATTCATTAGCCGAGTCTAAATGATCGTCGCTATGTTATCGCTAGAGAGCAAAGATCGTTCGAGTTTGTTAAAGTGACATTTGGTTGGGACAATTTTTCTCTCTTTCTTATCATTTCCTTTGACATATGACGGAAAAGAATCTCTACTACCCGCGTCACTCGTCCTACAAAGCCCTTTCCCGTCAATATTCCCGCCCGTCGACTCCAACGACTTTACCAACAATAATAATCCCTAGTCGGGAATATGCGCAAACGATTGAGTTAATTGAGCGCGCAATAATAAAAGTGTCGTGGCATTAACAATGCAGCTAATAATGTTTATGCGAGGCTCGAGATTTTAATTTCGGAATGTGTTAACAAGCGGATACTCGCGAGTATTGAAATTATCACTTTAATATATTCTGCGCTTGCGACAAGTTGGAGAATAATAGTGGGCGAGCGACTAGCGCGAGTAAAACTCTCGAGTAAGTTTCTTAGTAAAAAGCGAAGAAGAAAAAACTTACCAGTTTCGTTAATGAAGTCGGGGTGCTTGGGTGGTATAAGGCCCCAGGCCGGTGTTTTTCGATCGTAGTAATTGTAATCTCCGACAATATCCGACGGTACCCCTACAAATAATATATATATATATATATATATCGTCGTTGTCGTTGTCGTCGTCGTCGTCGTCGTCCTCGTCGTCGTCGTCGTTGTTTTTTTTTTTTTTTATCTTTTAGGCGAATGTCGGCGAGTCCCGTAAATAACTCCACGGCACTTTGACTCGCAATATTTACATTGACGCAATATCGTTATCGCGCAGCTTTTTATATTTATACAGCGCTCTATATTTTCATCGGTTATTAATATCTTTCGCTCGAGCTGCCTTAATGCATCTCAGCGACTTGTTTATGCTAATTGAATCGACAATTTTCAAATAGAAACATTGTCAAAATGTTGTTGATGAATTTTTCGAAAAATCAATAATCAAGTTGAATGCCATGACGGAATGCTCCAACAAAAGTACGCGCGCTCGTAAAGTTTTTCAATAATCGAATTCGGTTTGGCTATTTGACTATAACGTTCCATTTACTTTTTATACGAAATAATGCATATTTATACTACGCGTATATATTTGCAACACATATACCAAGGAGATTATAATCTTTTACACAAACTCGGCTCCAATGGAAATAGTAAGCCGCTTGTGTATCAACGAAATTTTTCCCCAATTATCGTTCAATATTCTCGCTCGTTAGTTCTTGTCAAAATCTCTCCCCAAGCCATAATCATTGGACTTTGAATGGCAAATTGACTTATTAGAAATTGCACAACTCGCATTTCTGGCATTTTCACGTTTAATCTTACTTTTATAACGCATAATCCCATAATGCCGTAATATTATACTACGCTATAATGTAAAAATATAAACTCTTATAACGAAAGAATGCAATTTCCCATCCACTATTAATAAAATTGAAATCTTTAGAGTTAGTGGAAGCATGCATTCACGTCATTGAAAGCCATCGTTGGCTCGACAACGTCGCGTTAGTCTTTTATGGTGCGCGTTCCTTTGTAGTTTCCAGCTTGCTGCAAATCGGCAATAGATTTTTTTTTCTTTTCTTTTCTTATTTTTTTTAATGAAAAATAAAGTCAGGAACGACTGCGAGCTATCGATATTGAGTTTTTAAACTATATACCCCTAGTCCTGACAGTATACCCGATAACTTAAAAGTTATTTCGTGTTTGCGGGACAAGGGAATTGGTGGACGATTGTGGTGAGGGGGGGGGGGGGGGGGGGGG